CTTTCACTGTGACACCCAGACTGTCCAAGATGCTATCTACACAAAACTAAATAAACCCAGAGCAGCCACCGCCACCTCTACCTTGTTCTGTCCTGCCTTGGCGATTACTGACACAGATTATGTTCCTCTATGATTTATATCACATAGCTTACTTCATCGTTCCCATCATGGACAGGGCCATCTGACCTTTCTAGAATGAAAATCTGATTGAATGTGCATCCTCTTTCCTCCCCTAGTTGGGGCAGGTGCTGGGGGCCTGGGATGCAGAGGGGTAAAGATATTGTGTCCTTGCCTCCTCCCTCTGCCTGCTCTTCCCTGCATTACTGTTTCAAGAGAGTAGCCAAGAAGGGGTTGAGGAAATTCTGCCAGACAGCTCTGGTGCCATAGTTCCGAAGGCATTTGACTGCTAACCAGAAGGCTGGCGGTTCAAATCCACCAGCCACTCTTTGGAAGGAAGGTTGGGCAATCCACCTCCATAGTGATACCACCTTGGAAACCCAAGGAGGGATCGCTATGAATCGGGTTCGATTTGACGACAGTGAGTTAGTCAGGAAGATCTGGAGCTAACTTCACACCCTAGAACCCACATTTTTGCTCTTAGGAGCCTCTGTCGTTTCCCCTGACCCCTCTTCCCTGAAGTAGGCTGGGCCCCCTCTGCGAGGCAGCCTCTGGTCTTAGTGATACAGCCGTGGCCCCCATGACTAAGGCCTCAGTGCCTCTTGGGCAGGATCTCCTGTCCTGCAGAAGGTTTGTTGAATTTTTGGGAGCTATTGGTTAATATTTTCTGCCAGGTTTGTAAAATCTTCAGTTATTATTTCTTCAGGTAATTTTTTTTTTACCTTTAAATACTGTCCTTTACTGGTGGCAGAGCCTGATCCCACTGAGGCTTGGCTTTAGGCCTTGTTGGGGTGGTTGCAAATTAGCCCTTAGGCTAGGGCAGAGGTCTACAAAACCACAGCCTAGGGGCCAAATCCAGCTGGCCACTTGTGTCTGTCTGGCCTGTGAACACCTCTGGAGAGTATCAAAGAAAAATTGGTAGCAGGCATCTTGCTTTGCTTTGAGGATTTACCTACCCATGAAACCAAACATTCTCTGTAAAGAAGTGTCTGATCAGGGTTGATGCTACCAGTGGCTTTTCTGTCAACCAAAGTTGCTAGTCTTTTCTTTACTGTTTGAAGCCCAGTTTACTGAATTTGAATTTCAAAAGATGTGTCTGGGTGGAGGGCCAGAGCCATATCATGACCTGGAACCAGTTGATGTCAGTAAAAGGGGGAGGGCAGAGTTCAATCAATCTTGTTGAGATTAGCCCATGGTTCATCTTCCGTATTTCTCCCCCCATCCTTTTTCTTTATAAGCCTCATTGTGCCTAGCTTCTCTGAGCCATTTGCTTTCTCCAGAATCAAAATGGAGTCCCTGTATGCATATGGAATAACTGCTCAGAATAAACCTTATGTGCAAATTTTGCTTTGACTTTTGTGATTAAGTTTAACAAAGGGGAAGTATGAGGAGCCACAGAGACAACTGGGGGTTCTGTGAACCATTTCCGGGAGTGCAGGCGTCCTTCTGGGGAAAGGGACTCAATCAGAATTTCATTCTGGAAAGGTCACGTGGCCTTCTAGATTGCATCCCCATGATGGGAACAGTAAGGGAGAAGCTATGTGATCTAAATCATAAAGGAACACTGTCCCTGTTAGTAATCTTCTAGGCAGGACAAAGCAGGGAAGAGGTGGTGGATGGCTGCTCCAGGTTTATTTAGTTCTGTGAAGATAGCATCTCAGACAGTTTGGGTGTCACAGTGAAAGGCGCCAGTAGGGTGCCTAATGGGGTGATGGGATTGTACACTCATGCAGACATGAGTCAGTTGTTCTATGTGCTTATAGGGAGACCATTTTGACTCCAGAAAAAGCAAATGGCTGAAAGAAGTTAGGTTCAGAGGATAATCAAGAGAAGAGGGGGAAGAAATACGGAAGATCATCTGGTTAATCAACATGACTGGACCCTGCCCTCCCAGTTTCACTGAGACCCACCTGTCAGGTCCCAGGGTGGTCTCTGCTCCTCCACCCACAGCCATAGCTCTTGAAATTCAACTTCAGTGAACTGGGCTAGCACAGAAAGAAAAGCCTAGCAACTCTGGGTGAAAAAAGGTGCTGAAGATCCATGCTGGTCAGAAACTTCCTTCCAGCAAATACTTGGTTTCATGGGTTGAGTGGGGCCTAAGATTCCACACTTCTAACAAGTTCCAGATGAGGTTAACACTGTTGGTCCCAGAAACTGGGGTTTGGATTAACATCTGGGCCCATATAGGTTTAATTATTGACTTGAGACTAGCCGTTACTATTACTCAAGAGCAGGAGGCCAGCATCCCCAAGCTTGCCAGCGAAGGACTCCCCCACTGGACAGTGTAATGGGAGAGAGGGAGGCAGAAACAAAGACACTTTTGTGATTGGATCCCAGGAGTCCTGCTGGTTTAATGTATTGTTACATTGGTAAAGCACAATTGCTGTTCCAACTTTGAATGAGGAGAAATAGTTTATGCTTCTGCTTTCCAACAGTTAACAGATCCTGCTGGGCCTCCATGGCATCGAAGAGGCTCTGGAGCAAGGACTCGGCACACATACCGCCTCCAGCTCCCTCCCACCTCCCTTCTCAAGGACCACATCATTGGCTATCCAATTCCTGTCTCTGCCCAGCACCCACATTGGTACTTTTGTGGCTTAATCACACCTTGACTTTAAATGATGATTCCAGGTCACTTCCTACTCCTTCCAGGGGACATTGAGGGCGGGGACTGCAGACTGTGACTGATCACTATGAGGCTCTTCAATGGTGGGAGGCATACCGGGGGCACAGGTCAGCTCAGACAAGGTACCAGGCCAGGATGCCAGTCCACATGCTCTGATATGCACCCAATCCCCAGCACATGTCAATCAAAAACCAACCCTGTTTCTGTCCAGTTGATTCCAACTTACAACTCCTGGTAACCTCACGCATTACAGGGTTTTTTCTCAGCTATAATCTTTGTGGACACAGATTGCCAGGCCATTCTTCCTCCCTGCAGCTATGTGAATTGAACTGCTACTTGAAGGTTAATAGTTGAGCACAAACCAGTCACACCACCCAATAACATGGCCTATCCCAGGTGTCACATAAAAGGACCCAAAAGGACGCGTCTTCAGGCGTTATCTCTTCAGGATGTTGAAAGTGGAAAAGTAGATGCTAAGAAACCATTCTGACTTTTTCTACACCCACCATTCTTTCATGAGGTTTCTCCCTGTTACCACCATTCAATCCACTTTTCCAGGGACCCTCTGGTGGCATAGTGCCTGAGGCATTTGACTGCTAACCAGAAGGCTGGCGGTTCAAACCCACCAGCTACTCCTCAGAAAGAAGATTGGCTGATCTATTTCCATAGTGATACTGCCTCAGAAACTCAAGGAGGGGTTGCTATGAGTCAGATCCGATCTATGGCAGTGAGTTTGGTTTGGTTTTTTGGTTTTTGGATTATCCTGTGCAGCAGGCCAAGATGGCTTCATGGCTTTTTGCCATGTGACAAATGGACCTGGTAGATGAGCATGAGGAGCACATGAGTAGCAAGACTTAGGCCAGTCCCCCAAGGCCATCTTACGTGTTGTTATAAGGATAACCCTACAGATCACAACTGTCAGATCCCTTTGTGCATGAGGTCACTATGAGTTGGGGGCCAACCAGAAGACAACAACATAAGGAGATGTTCTTCAGTGTTATACTTTGATATGAGATTGTTGTTTGCTCACTACTTTGTAATATCTTTATTAAAGAATACAATAAACCTTACCCTACAGTGTGCTAGTGGGAAAAGTAAGGCTGTCATTGGCTGCCATCACTGTCTATCATAAAAGAGGGTAACTGAGATCTTCAGGAGGGAAACAATGGGGGTAACTTGTGCTGCTGCCTCCTCTGAGAAGAGGCTGGGGAATGGAGAACCGTGGGGCCCTGTGCTCTGCTCAGACCTCAGAGAGCTCAGGGAGGAAGCATGAGAACACCAAGTGGGCAGCAGTTGTGTTAAGACTGCAGTTCGCTGGTAATATTTCATGTTGTCGTGAGTAGAAAATAAGGTGGCTTTTGTTAAGACAAAAAGGAGCTCTGGTGGTGTAGTGATTAAAGCATGTGGCTACTAACCAAAAGGTTGGCAGTTCAAACCCACCAGCCACTCTGTAGGAGAAAGTAAAAGATTTACAGCCTTGGGAACTCTATGCGGCAATTCTATTCTGTCCTATAGGATCACTAAGCATTGGAATGGACGCGATGGCTTTGGGTTTTTCTTTAAAATAAAAATCTTCTGTTTGATTTTTTTTTTACTGTTCTTAACTTTCTCTCACTGTATTGTAAAAGGAAAGAAATCTACCATTCAATGTAAGCCTGGCAAAGATTTGGCTAAAAATTCTATTAAAATGCTCACAAAATTCGCCTTATTTTTATTAAAAGTCTCCTTCTGTAATTCATTTAATTGCAACAGTACATTCAACATCTTCAAAGAGATTAAGGCATTTCATGCATTTATTATAGTCAACACAGAATTTTGAACTGAAATTCAAGATGTTATATTTACACATGCAAGCAAAATAATATTTAAAAAAACAAAAGTCCGTTCAAAGTTGAAACTTTCAAACTGGTTTTCTGAAGGTGGAATGGTTGCTTATTTAAGATCTCACTAACATATGAGTCAAGACAATCACATCCTTTCTATTTTTTGGATTGCCTTGGTCGTGTCACTCAGAGGGCCCTCAAATGAAGCCCCAAAGAGAAGAAAGCCTTTTAAGCGAATGTACATTTTTCCACAGTTACCATAATCCTAGAGTTCACCAATTTATAGAGTAAGTTGGAAGAGACCCTAGACCCATTTTTCGGATGAGCACACTGAGGCACAGAGGTGTGTGAGGTTCGAATGAGAGAGAACTTGTTGTTTGGCTCTTGGCCTCTGTGCCTCCCGTGTGACTCTGAGCCCTGCCTGGCCCATTAGTTTATGGGGAGGCAAGCTTCCCCCAGAAAAGAACCATGTTGGTATGTGTGTGTCTTATGAAGAACAAGAAGGGGTGATCGGCCATGAACTGAGCACGGATGGGGAGTCTTTTCACCACAATGGTGTCCCCAGTGGCAGCTGAGGCCTCAGTACCCTCCTCATTGACATCCACATAGGTCTTATGGATGACCTTTGATAAATACAGGCCCTTAGCTGGCGACATTCCAGACAGATCAGCTTTAGCATCTTCAAAGATATCTGTCATACCGAGGGACTTCAGCAGAGAGTTGAGCTCGTACTTGATCTCGAGTTTGAATCGGGGGATGTGCACTTCAACTTGTCTTGTCATCATGTTGGAAGAACTGGTCCACTCTTGAAACGTCTTCAGGTTCAGCTGCTTTTCGATCTAAGAGACAAAACACAGATGAGCCCAGGGAAGGTAGACACTCCACTCTGGGCATTAGATGCTGATTGTTTTCAGAATTCTCAGCCTGAATGATCCCATTCCATCCTGTTCTCTTTACCTTTCAAATGTGCTTAAGTCCTGCCTCGCTAAAAGAGAAACCTTGCTTGTAGGTACACCTCCTCTTATCTACAAGGAGCTCTGGTGGTGTAGGTTAAGGCATTCGACTGCTAACCCAAAGGTCAGCAGTTCAAACCCACCAGCTGCTCCACAGAAGAAAGATGAGGCAATCAGCTTCTGTAAAAATTTACAGCCTTAGAAGCTCTATGGGGGTCGCTACGAGGCAGGATCAACCCAATAGCAGTAGGTTTGGTTTGGTTTTCTCTTTTGATTGTCTGTGCCTCGTCTCCATTTTACAAGAAACAGTTGCAGCTAGGGGAGCACGTGAGAACCCAGACTCCTGCCACCACGTAATCTTAAGGATTTCCCCACAAAACCAGGATGCTGGAAAGCATGGTACAACTAGCTCAGAAACACTGTCCCTGAAAGTAAGGCATTCCTCAGACTGCTGAGTACTGCGAGCCCCCCAGCACTAGAATTGTGTTTCTATAGAAAGATGTCTCCCAAGTGTCAGACGACCAGTGTGTGGCTGTGTTTTGGCACGTGCACATGTTTATAAATCAGCACAGGATGGCACTTTTGCTTTCCTGTGTCTTTGTCTTCACAGGATGGCTTGTTCTCCCTAAACACATTGCCTTCAGAGGCAAGAACCCCATCTCCCAACCCCAGTCCCTGGAGCAGCACCGCTTAGCCCAGACGTGGATCGATCGAAGATGGACTGCTTGGAGAGCATCTGAGAAAGACAACGTGTGTCGCTCAGGCTGCCTGTCAGTCCTCTGGTCACTTTACCTGCTCGAGATTAGCTGTGCCTACTGGAAGCAGAATAATCATGCTTAGTCTGTTGTTGACGTAGGGCAGCTCGAGGACCTGCATCTGCGGCTGCTTTATGACAGCCAGTTTGAATATTCCAGTTTGATACATCATGTCCACAGTTACATTTTCACCCTATTAGAAACGAATGGTTGTAAGCCCATGGTGCAGCATAGATGTGCATGTACGTACCCACCACACATAACATAACAGAACATGAATATCTGCACTCACACTGCAAAACGTAACCTACTGAGTAAATCCTTTATTACTTTCCTCTTGCAAAAATTATTATTTTTTATTTTTATTTTAAAATAAGTCACTGTTTCAGCCTGAATAGCTGTAACTCATATAGACGACTTTGGCTTCCCAATCACAAAGCCAGGGTTTCTCAATAAAATTACTTCTGTGCAAAAATGACATCGTGGGATTATTATTATTATTAATCCAGTGACAAACTCTCTAGAAGAAAAATCATACAATAGTTTGGTTGTGCTGCTAAAGAAATTAATGACAGCATACAGGCAGTCCCCAGATTATGAATGAGATCTATTTCTAACTGTGTCTTTAAGTCTTTAAGTGGAATATGGTTCTTGTTGACCCTCACTTTACTACAAGAAGGGAGCTCTGGTGTGGCTGTGGTTAAAACAATTGGCTGCTAAACAAAAGTTCAGTGGTTCGAATTCACAAGCTGCTCCATGGGAGAAAGATAAGGCAGTCTGCTTCGGTAAAGATTTGCAGCCTTGAAAACGCTGTGGGTTTCCAAAGTTCCAAGTTTTCCTCTGTCCTATAGGGTTGTAGTTGTTATGTGCCGTCGAGTCAAACCCGACTCAGCGACCCCTCCTTGGGTTTCCGAGGCAGTATCACTACAGAAGTAGGATTGCCCAACCTTCCTTCCGAGGAGTGGCTGGTGGGTTTGAACC